GTTAACTTAACCTACTGCCCGACTGGTGACATGGCAGCAGACTTTCTCGCGAAGCGACTGCCACGCCAGCAGTATCAGCATTGCCCCGAACTTAGCGGAGTGGTCAAGCAGGTCAGGTCGAGCTGCGGCCAGGAGTGAAGGGGGGTGTTACGTATAGCAATGAATGAAGATTACAGTACACTCCCGACCGCAGCATGCAGTATCGAGAACGAATGTGAAGAGTCATAATTGACTCGAAACGTCAGACCAGGCCCTCAGATTGGTTTCAGGGTATGCTGATGGATCAGCGTGCCCTGCCCAACGTCGTGACCAAGTCAGCGTTGGGGGTTTAGTTAATGCTGATTTTGTCAGGGTTAATTTCATGGGTAACTGAAGCAAATGTTGTACTTGAGATTTATCGCCAGTACTACTGACGTAGCTGTCTAAGGTTTCGCCTTACTTGCAAGGTCACGGGGTCAATTCCCGTGTGTGAGATGTTGTGAAGTGTATGGCGGGGATTCAAGTACTAAAGCCTCATGCACGCGCACTTTCCTCCCGTGCTTTACACATTTTGGTAAGTCCGAATCAGTGTGACTCGGTACACTATACTGATGCTTCAGTGTAACTGGTACACCTATACACTAATTCGTCAGGGTAGTCCTATACGTTAAACTGAAAAATCAGTGCAAACATAAAGGATATACGGTACTGAAATTTCAGGGAAAACGAAAATCACAGGTACAAAATCAGCCTAATCAGCGTGTTTTACGCTGATATCTGAGGGCCTGCGTCAGACGTTTGAGATGCATTTGGACCGTCGAAGCAGATGGCATCGGGCAGCTGCAGGCAGAAGGATTCTGGCGGGAACAGTTTTCGTAAATGTACGCGCCGCACGGTTGGGAATGAATTTGAATAACGGAATGTACCTCTTATAGTACATGGCTAGCCAGGTCGATTCGTATTCCGCTGTACTCTTATTTATATCGTTGTATTTGCATGTTTTAATCATCTCAAGCATTTTACATTCACTCGGCTATTGAGGTCAAGGGCACACCACTACTAGACTACAAGTGTGCGAACCTTCATGAGGTGATCCTGGTTACGATTTATTTCTGATCGCAGCAGGTTAATCAAAGAAATGGCGAAAGCGTTGAGAACACCATAACAGGTGGACTATATAATATTGGCAAGCCGAAATTGTATACATACAGTAGTGACAACGCAAGCACCTCATTCCTGAGCGTCCACCAAATACAGATATTTTAGAATGCGTAGCTGTTGTTGTTGTTGTTGTTGTTGTTGTTGTTGTTGTTGTTGTTGTTGTTGTTGTTGTGGTTTTTTGTTTTTTTTTTCATTATCCAACCCTAAACCCTTCTCCCTCTTCCCCCCAACCCACATCCACTCAGGAATGTATTTTTTCCTCCATTGATAAAGACATGAACCTATATGTGCATATATTATTCCACATAAATGAGTTGTGGTATAACTAGTATTGAGAACGCCGTGAAGATGTGATTTTACGGAATTTCACAGCGGAACAAAAATGCAGACTCCTTTGAAGTAAGAAGTTTCTCATGTAATTTCGTTCGAGGAAGGGATGAACCTGCATGATACTAGAAGGTTGTCGTTTTGCCGAGGATGAGCTGAAAGTGGGAACATGATGGACACCTGGCAAAAACGTAATGATTGCGCGAGCTCTGGGCAACAGTTGAAGGAGCTGCTCCCACAATGTGGTCAGTGGACTGTAGTTTTTTTACTGTACACTTAAGCCGCAATCCATTATTACTGTCCAGTCGTACCTCGCTGTATTGTTCAGATTCAAAGCAGTACTGTTCGGTTACAAAAACAAAAATAAGCGTTCTTAAGCGGGCACTTGTCACGCTTTGTGCTAATGGCGTGTCCGAAGTGAAACGTCGATGGATGTCGCTGGATATCGGTAAATTTCATCCCTCGGATCGACAGTTCCAACCGTCAGGATTTACCGACATCCCCAAACGGATGGCAACGGATGTCGACGTTTCACTTCGGACATCCCTTGAGGGATATCCCTCAGCCTGACATCCCTCGACGAAACTCGACGTTCGTGCACATGTCGAGGGATGTCGAACAGTGATACCGGGCAGCTGTTTGAGTCACTGTAGTCAGTGAGTGTTTCAAAAACAATTCTTCGACACGCCATGTCTGCATAGCTGTGGCAAAACACACGTGAATAAGAACTAAGACGAGAGCGACACGTGCTAGAGAAATTTCGCTGGCAATGTGACAGTAGAATATCCGGTGTTACCAGCAACAATCTATGCTAAGCGAAATTCGCGAGATTGCAAACAATTGAGTTACATGAATGATTCTGTTAATTCCACGTCGAATTTTCATGGGCAACTTATAACAGTGTTCCTATGGCACGTGTGGGTTATTTTGTCGTGTGGGTGTCTGAAGTGAACACAGCTGAAAACGGATGTCGAGTTTCGTCAAGGAACGTCGACGAAAGTTTCCTCGGCAAACGTCGAAATTCACTTCAGACACGCCCTAATCGTGAAACGCGTCTCTGAGCTGTGAGCAACGCGGTTTGCACTGAGCTCTGGTTGCGGTCTTGTCAGGACGAATAGTTGGTGCGTCCACGGTTACTTGCAGGCTTGGCCAATCAATGGAGCCGGTCAGCAAATCACACAGCAGTGGCTCCTGGCGTAAAGATTTTGCTCCTCCAAACTGAAGGGAGTCAGATAATACAGATTCATCGTGCTGTACAGAATACAGTGGAAGTGTTAGAGCTGTTGATTGGTTGCTGCTGCTGTTTTGGTGGCGTCTGATTTTTGCATAGGGCTAAGTGTTGCGTTAGGGTGTGTGCTGTTTTAGACCCTCAACTCAACTTGCACTTGTGAGGGAGCCTTCTACAGTGGGAACTGTGCGTGCCTTGCTCGCAGGAGCCTCATCCCAACACCTTGAGTTTTTGCTTCCGCACCAAGTCACCTCACCGAGTTTATCCTTTTGGAGTCGTCCTCGCTCATAGCCACCCGTCCACCGCACAGTGCAAAAACCAATCGCCAGTCACCCCAAGTGTACACAATCTCCACTGCCGATTCACACTATTCCACCATGTCTGGAGGTCTCTTGCTGTGAGGTTTCAAGCAATGGAAAATTCCACCCCCACTTAAGAAGAAACAAGTCTTCATTGTGGTGTACTTTCATTTTTTAGGCCTTCAGGCGGTCTCTTCCAGCCCACTTCTGTAATGTTTTATGTAATTTACTGCAACCAGTATTCTCTTGACATTCAAGGGGCATGCAAAACCATAAATTGAGAGAGCCCATGCCTTCACCCCATTCTGTACCCTGCGCAACGACCTTTCCGCGCAGCACCCGCACCTCCCACTTGGGATTCCGCGCGGAGCTGAGCAAGCGGGGTGGCGGGGGTTTGCATCCTCTACACTGTGCCCCACTACAGCAAGCAAGCCTCCCCCTGCCCGTCCCTCCCCTCCCTCGTGCGAGAGCAGTCGCGGGGACGAGCAGATATATTTCGCACCGACCGACATGCCAATGGCAGCAGCAGCAAGCGCAGGTCGCGCCGGCGCCATCAAGGGATGCTGGCAGCCTTCCCGGCAGGCGCTACTCCCGCGCACTGCGCCGTGCGCGCTACAGCGACTATCGCCCTACGCGGCCAGCCCTCTCCCCCCGCCACGTGCGCGAGCTCGTTCCTGCCTGCCCCGCGTCAGTCCGCGAGGAGCAGCGACGTGCTCACGACGAAACCGAATCTTTAACGACAAACCGAGATCTGTATGCTCCGCTGACCGCCATGGCACGCGGCGGTCGTTGCTCTCAGCGGCGACGGGCCCTGTGGCTGCGAACAACGCGGAGCAGGCCATCATTGGCGCGCGGCTGCCGCGCACTGCTCTTTCCCTGTTCTCCATGCCAGGCGCGCGGGGCACGTGATAATTCGGCGGCCATTATGACGCCTTTCCAGTGGCAAGGGAACAGAGCGGAGGCAGTTCTGCGGTCAACGCAGGGAGGGGAGGGAGTGGAGGGAGGCGGATGTTGTTTGTCTGCTGTTTTGGTCCCAACGTACGAAGAGATAAGACGTAACGCGCTGAATGTAGCTCGCCACTTCACCACACCACCACCAAGCAAGCACGATGACTGTACTGTACCCCTGACCTCAACCATACGGCTGTGCTTGCACCCACAACCACCAACCTGCTCGCACACGTTCCATCCACTTCCAACCCGCCCAGAAGAAGGCGACAAGAGGAGCTACATGTTTCGTTCGCGGTGCTTCGGCCAGAATTCCACGAGCGAACGCGTAACTTTGCGCACCCGCTATTGGCAGGTGGTGGCTGACTAGGACGCCTCAAAACTTCTGCCTAATCTACAGTCACAGCACCTACAGAACCGTACGCATGCGGAACGATTCCCCCCTGCAGGTCATGTGACAGAGTGAGGAGAAGAAACGGAAGCAGATGCGATGCGACGCACCGACCATCCGAGGCAAAAGGCGAACTGGAGGTGTAGATGCATGTTACAAAAACTGTTTATTCGGATGCTTACAACGCGTAAAGTATGCGAATTAAATAAGACCCTTCATCACGATTCCGCGCGCTGTTGACCATGGGATCCACACCCAATGACGCCGCGCCACGTGTGCAGATCTACCCTCAGCACACCGACTGCGTCTCGGATTTCATGCGAGGTGTGCAACTGTCGTGGTTACCGTTCCCTGCTGGCTGGTCTGGTTTGCTCGTGCATGCCAGCCGGATTCATGTCAATGTCAGGGTTCCAGGTTCCGGGGTTTAAGTTTCGAGGTAGACCGAGGCGAACAAGCGCAATTTCCGGCGCGGAACGCGCTTGACATTTGGTTCGAGGGTGCGTCGCATGCGAAGCTGGTTTGGTGGGCCGGGGCAGTGTCGGGGGGGGGAGGGTTGGGGGTTGGTAGTGGAGCCAATTCAGTATTAGTGGGCGAGGCCCGGGGGCAAAGGAGGGGAAGTAGTGAGCGGGGGCGGAGACGGTGAGGGGGCGCAGTTGCAACACGGGAGATGCGGAGTTGCGGGATGGTCCATTGCTGGCCCGCCCAACCTGTGGAGCAGCCGCTCCTCGCCCCTCGCCTCTCATCTCTGCACTCTGCGTGTGTGCGTGCATGCATGGCTGCATGTGCCAATGTGTGCATGTGTGTGTGATGGGCGGGGCGGGGCAGGCAAGTACGAGAGGGAGGCGAGGCGCTACTGGGATCTCTTCTACAAGCGCAACGGCGAGCGGGTGAGCAGCGCCTGCCACATGCCGCACAGCGCTGGCCGCTGCCGCTGCCACTGCGCTTGCCGCGCTTCAGGCCAGCACTGCATTCCCCCACCCCCCCACTCACTGCCTTCCCCTCCCCCGTTGCCAAAGCCCCCCTCGCTTCGTACTCTGCGTTGCTCAGTCCGTTTCGTCCTTTCCCCCCTCTCCCCGCTCATCCCGCCCTCTCCTCCCGCGGATCCCTTCATCCCCCCCGCCCCGTGCCCCCGCGCAGTTCTTCAAGGACCGCCACTACCTGCACCACGAGTGGGCGCTCTTCCTCCGCGGAGATGCTGGCGCGGGGGGAGCTGCGGAGGCGGGAACAGAGGGGGGAAACGCGGGCGGGGCAGAGGGAGGGGGAAGGGAGGCTAGGGGTGGGGATGCAGGCGCAGGAGTGGGGAGTGCAGGGGGCGGTGGTGGGTGTGGCAGCGGCAAGGGGGGATGTGTGTGCGAGCGGTGCGTTGCCATCCGACGAGTGGTGCTGGAGGTGAGGCGAGTGGTGTGAGTGTTGGGAGGGGGGGAGGATGGGGGGTGGGGAGTGGGGAGTGGGTTGCCCTGTGCTTCACCCTCCCTCATCCCCCTGTGCATTGCTGCCTCCCCACCACCCCTCACCACTCCTCTCTCCTCACCGGCACTGCAATTCCAACCCTTAAGCCACCGTTTCTCATCCCCCCTGCGTGCTCCCTGTTCCCCTGTGTTCCCCCCTCTCCCCCCTGTCCTTCCCCCATCCCCCTGTGTGGCCCCCTGGGTGGGCAGGTGGGGTGCGGGGCGGGCAACACGGTGTTCCCGTTGCTCGCAGACGACCCGCACCTCTTCGCCCTCGCCTGCGACTTCTCCCCGCGCGCTGTTGCGCTTGTCACCGTGCGTTCAGGGGTGGAGATGGGTGTACATGGTGGGGAGGTGCAGCGGATGGTGGGAAGGGGGACGTGTGGGGACGTTGATGTGTGTGCGTGTGGTGCTCGCAAGCTGCTTTTGCTGCGTGCGTGCATGCTGCATGCACTGATGGCAGCACCCTCACGACCAGCGTCTCTGTGTCGCTCTCTCGCTCTCCCTCTGCATCTGTGTGTGCGCGTGTGCATGTGTATGTATGTATGTATGTGTGTCTCTCTCCCTCTGCATGTGTGCTGGCATGGTGGCGGGCAGGGCAGTGAGCACTACGACGCGCACAGGCTGAGAGCATTCGTGGCGGACATCACAGCGGACCCCCTCGCCACTGCCATCGCAACCGCCAGCAGTAGCAGCAGTAGCAGCAACGATGACAGAAGTGGTGGTGGGGGGGGGATGCACGTGCTGCCGGCCGCAGTGCCCTGCAGTGTGCCCGCCATCTCAAGCGGATGTGGTTACCATGGTGGGTGGCATGTGGTTACCATGGTGGGTGGCTGGCAAGTTAATGCCGTGCGAAAATCCTTCCATCATAACATGGCATCACATCGCACCACCTTCCATCACTTCACCTCAATCTCTTTTCACCACCGCGCTCCTCTCGCCAACCCCATGCGCAGGTGTTTGTGCTATCTGCCATTTCACCTGAGAAGATGCCTCTCGCCGTCGCCAACGTCGCCACTGTGCTCAAGGCAGGTCCCCTCGCCTCGCCCCGTCCCCTTGCGTGCCTGCACATGCTCTTTGGCTGCCGTGCTGCCATCCCTTGCCTCCTCACGAGAGCCTCTTGTCATTGCCACGCGCTCTCTCATCTGCCTTCTGCTGCATCTTTTCTCCACACTCACCCCCTCACACCCGCCCCCCCATCTTTCCGCACCCCATGGCATGGCATGCAGCCAGGCGGGCATGTGTTGGTTCGAGACTATGCTGCCGGCGACCTGGCTCAGGTGAGTGGCTCAGGTGTGTTTGTCAGGTTTGTTTCTCAGGTGTTTTTCTCAGATGTGTTTTCAGGTGTGTTGCTCAGGTGCGTGGGTCAGGTGCCATGCATGGGTACAGGTCAGCAACCCCGTGTGTCAATCCATGTTGGTTGTCACGGCGTCTTGCTGCCGTGCCACCATTCACTGCAACAGTCTATCTCCTTCTGTCCCGCCTCCCCACGACCGTGCCGTGCCATCAGGAGCGGTTGAGGCGCAAGGAGCAGCACATCGCCGACAACTTCTATGTGCGCGGCGACGGCACCGTGAGTGTGTGTGTGGGGAGGGGGGGCGATGGCACAGTGATTGGAGGTGGGGGCTGATAATGTGGTCAGCTGATGCTGTCATCTATCCATGCCTCTTCCCCCTTCTCCCCCTGCGCCCCATGTCTCTCCCACGCCCCATGTCCCTCCATGCCCCATATCCCTCTGCGCCCCATGTTCATTTATGGTCACATCAGCGAGCATACTACTTCACGGAGGCAGCACTGGGGGAGCTGTTTGCGGGGGCAGGCTTGCAGTGCGTGCACATGGGCGTGTGTGAACGCACCGTCACCAACCGCGCACGACAGATCGACATGCACAGGTGCTGCTGACGTGGCAGGTGCTGCTGACGTGGTAGGTGCTGCTGCTGACATACACAGTCGCTTCATTTGACTTGTTCAATTTTCTGCACACAACTCCCCACCACTCGTGTGCTCTGTGGAACGTCCCTCTTGCCCGTACACCCATGACCACTGTGCCCTGCTCCCACCCCCATGCTCCCTCAACCTCTTGCTGCCCGCCCCCTTGTGGCATGACCAGGCGGTGGATCCAAGCGGTCTTCCGCCTGCCCCTCGCTGCCACTGCCGCTCCTGCTGCTGCTGCTAGTCCTTGTGAGGCGGCTGCCACTGCTGTGGAGGATGTTGAGTCAAGGGGGACGTATGACCGGGAAGGCGGGGAGGAGGAGAGACGAGGAAGTGGGAGCAATGTTGTGCGAGGGGACGGCAATGGCAGGGGAGGAGCAGGCACAGAGGAGAGTGACACGGGCGGCAGTGAGAGCGCATGTGAGGTGGACTGCAGCAGCCTCTTCCTCTCCGACCCCCCTTTAGAGGTGCTTCCTTGCCCCCTGCTTCGCCCTCTTCTTCCCTGTCCCCATCCCTTCCTTCCTCTTCCCCTGGTATTACCTGCCTCTCAACCTCATCCACCCCAACAACCGCCCCACCTGTCTACCCACGTCCCCAGGACCACGCCCTCTCACTCGCGCACCTGCCGCTGCGCGTGCGCCTGCTATCCCGCGAGCACCAGCACACGCACGGCAGCACAGGCCGCCTGCTGTGGGAGTCGTCTCAGGTGCTGGCGGGACTGCTGCTCGCCCACCCCGCCCTCACCCGCAACGCCTCCGTCCTCGAGCTCGGCGCGGGCGGCGCCGCACTCTGCTCACTCGCAGCCACTCACAGCGCGCCACGTGTCATTGTGGCGACAGATGGGGACGAGAGTGCTCTGAGTCTGCTGCCGGGGAATCTGGAGCTGAATGCGGGGAGCTTTGAGACGGGCAGGATCAAGGTGTGCCGGCTGCGGTGGGGCGATGAGGGCGACGAGGCAGCAGTAAGGCAGCTGCTGCCCTCTCATGATGTGATAGGGGTGGATCAGGGTCATGTGCAGGAGGAGGGAAGGGGAAGCACAGCCAGTACAGAAGGGAGCGATGCACGCACAGCCCCTGTCGGAGGCAGCAGTATGAAGGGAGACGATACCGAGGCTGCTTATACCACAGCGCAGCAGGGGAGGGGGTTTGATGTGATCCTGGGAGCCGACGTGGTGTATGTGCGTGCCGCCGTGCCGCTGCTCTTCCAGTCCGCCGCCCGCCTCCTGGCACGGCGGGACAAGAGCAGGCGCGTGCCGGTGCTACTGCTGTGCCACATCACGCGCCAGGTGCTCGAGCCTGATGTGCTGGCTGCAGCGGCAGCAGCGGGGCTAGAGGTGGCGGAGGGAGAGGTGGCAGAGCGCGTTGGGGGAAGTGTGGAGAGGGCGATGCAGGCAGCGGTGGGGACGGCGTTCCCTGGGGAAGGCAGAGATGCCTCCCTCTTCCGCCTCCTCTGCTTCCGTGCCTAGAGATTGCCTTGAGCTATCACTGCAGCCATGCATGTTTTGGTGCATGGTGTAACTTGAAGCATGTCAAAGCTATCCACCTTTCTCCCAATGTAATTGCCATCATAATCAACGCATTTTTATTAATCCACATTATTACTTGGCCATCTGACTGCCGGGGTGTAGCACAATGGTTAGGGATTCACTGTGGTTGTTGTTGAGGTAAGGAGGAAGGTGGACGAGAGAGAGTCACGCATGCAAGGTCGTCGTTAGCATAGTGCTTGTATTGATAACAGTCACATTGCATCGTCACGCAGGGCACCAGTATAAGTTTTTGTGCGAATTGCCGCACAAGTCGTATGGTTGCACGCACGCCTTCGGCGGCATGTGCGCGATGACCTATTATACTAGGACTATGATACATCAGGTATGGCGATTACTGGCCGCAGCCAGCTCAGTCAGGCGATATTGTCTTCTTGTCCCGTTCACTATCAGGCAGCATGAGCGATACTGCCTCGTGTCGTTAATCACTCGCCATTTTCCCTTCAGCCGCGCGATGCTCGCTCGATCAGCCGAAAAATCCTCTCAACCGCTTCGACAAGGTTTGCGACACGGCGTCCAGAATGGTTGGCGCTGCGGTGACCGCCATTGTCTTTGATTCCGACTCGCGCGTCGAGGAAACGGAAACGTAATCGTCGTCCTCCGCGCCGCTGAAGTCCTCCGAGCCGTGCAGATGGTGGAACGCGTTCGCGATGGCGGCGGCTTTGATCTCCTCGTCGTTGGCCGCCTGCTGCGCTTCGAGCTCCGTGAACGTGAAGGCGTCGTCCTCGCTGTAAACCACCAGCTCCTGCAGCATGTCCACCTTGCTTATAGCGCGACTGACGAAAGGCATGCTTAGTAGCGCGACGACGGCGATCAACAATGACAGCGGCTTTCGCGACGAAGCCATTGTCCCGATGACTCGTGTCGGCCAGGGATATGCGTATCGCAACAAAAGGACGGCAGAACTCCGACCGGTCGAAATGGCTTTGTAAGAGACCCAAGCTGGATGAATAATTCGCGTGGCTTAAGAGTTAGTTGAAAGCAAACTGACTAAAAAATGGTGGATCGTTCTGTGCTGAACGCTATGGCTATCGCTGAAGAGATTAGCAGAAGTATTGAAGGGGTTACTGTACTTGAATTCGGAACGTCCGACTGAGTTCGCAGCAGGTGGATTTGTAGGAGCTGCGAGCAGCAGGGAGTGGCGTGGCTGGCGGCAGGGGTGGAGCGGGTGGCGCGGAGGTGGAGGCGGATGGAGGCCGAAGGGGATGGGATTGTTGCGATTCACGTGGGGCGGGATGGGAGGGAGGCAGCGCCAGGGGAGCAACGCGCGGTGGCGCGTAGCGCAGCTCACAAGGTTTCCGCCCAGACAAGCTTCCTGGCTCAGTGCTGCCGTGAACGCGCTGACTGATGACGGAGGATTTCCATTGCGACAAACGGCTAAACGACGGTGTAGACGACAACCGTCTGTGGCACGGCTTGGGCGACAGCTGGGCTTTGTGAGGTCATCGCATTTCGGTCGTTGACGACGGGCACAGCAAGTTCGGCGAACCACTGAAGAAGGTTCACGCGCTTCATGCGACAGTAGCGACTAATTTGTCGGCTGTGCGAGTGATCTACGCCGAGCCGAGGCGCAGTGAGAAACTGTTTTTCGTCAGACTGACAAACAAAACTGGCACCGCGAGAGTTGGTGGCTGACCAGCCAACAGAACGCTTCGTCAGCTGACAACTGCACCAGAGTTGAAATCAATAATTATGTATATTTTTAAAAGCTGTAACGCTTTTCAAAATTATGTATTTTGAAAGCGAAGCTGCTTGTAATGTAGGATTTGGCAGCGTCGAGCCGCGCTAAACGCCCGTTTTGGAGTACAAAACGTGGGCTGGAGGTCATTTCCCTCCACCCACGTCTCTCATTTTCAAACGGTTTAGCCGATTTTCCCGCCCCCCCCCCCCCCCCCCTCTCGGAAACAGGATAGCCGTAGGAACATAGAGGCATATCTTTGTAATATCACTATGGATTTCAATTGTACTAAACCCATTTGAAATGAGACGATGCCAATTGCTACATGCAAGAAAGCAAGCTTTCTAAATATGCTGGTGCTGAAAGCTGCTGGCGTGGACACACCCTCTGCCCACGTTGCAGTGACTCTGGTGTGTTTCCTGGCGCTGGCGTGGTTCTGCACCTCATATCAATATAAATAACATAACGCCTGTAAGCAACTAAAAATTCTCCATTTTCCGGATTACAGCATACTTGGTATTTGACATCCATACGCTGTTGCTTTTGTGTTGTGACCCATGGTAAAGTGTGATGTGGACAAAATTGGAGATTAAATATCCACTTATTAGAGCATACCAGCGTATGCATGACATCCAAGAATCAGTATCTGAATCTCATTAAAGCCCTAATTTGCTTATATGCCTATCCCCAGAATAGCCTTTGCCAAACTGGGCAATTTGAGACCCTTATTACGGCTAGACACAAAGGTGCAATGGCATGTGAGAAACATAGCTAAGGGAATACAAGCTGTGGGAAATCACATAAAGCAAATAGCCCTGCTATGAAGTCAGTAGTGGAAGAAAACTATGCTAACTGCAATGTGGTGTGAATTCTGTGTGTCCAAGGCACGTGTAGCGTCTCACTGTTGTGCGTCTGATAGCTGTTCCTCGTGGACTGCTGATGTCTCAGCTTGGGGCCCAAGCACTACGGGAGCAAGGACACCCCCTGCTTCTTGAGGCGTCGGTCCTCGCTTGCTTCCAAAACCATCAGATTGGCGCCCTCGGGGTGTGCTGTTAGCTCTCGTCCTAGCGCGCGTGGACTCAGTAGTCTCCATGAAGTGAGGAACAATACGTGGCGATGCGCTGGCACGTTTGAACGATGCTGATGGGGAGAGTGGTGCATGGGGCCCTGAGTTGGAAGCTGAACGGTTAGCAGATCGACTCAGCGACCTGGACCCAATCACAGCATCTGCAAGGGGTTGTGGCTCATGCGAAGCTCCAAGCGACAGCCGAGACATCGCAGCTGCTGCTCCACGGTTGCTGCCAGTGGTCGTGGTCGCGGGTGGAAGGGCTCCGACCTTGGCGGCCCAGGAAACCGTGGGGGCACAGATGTTGCAGGTGTGGGGAATTGCCTTAGAGGGCGCAGTGCCATTAGCGGACGCCTGAGCAGCAGCTGCGGCGTTGGCTGCCTGTGCTACGGAGGGCTTGACAAGGACACGGCGGCCGCAGCTCTTGCACTTGCCCATGTCCACCAGCTCCACAGTGCGGTGGGGCTTGGACTCCACTAACTGAGCCTCAAACAGACGGAGTGCTCCCTGACGTTTGGCTTTGGGGTTAACAGCCTGATAGTGCGCCATCATGAGACGATTCTCCCACGGCCTCGCGACCATCCAGCGCTCCAGCCAGCTCCACCCCCAACCACCCTTGTCGGGCTCGCAGTCAATGTATGCCATGGAGCGTTGCTGGGTAGGCTTCTCCTTCTTCCAAAGCTGAATGTAACGAAAAAACAGAAGTTAGTTCTGCGAGAAAAGCAGCACGCAAAAACTGTTCACCCTGTGTTACACTTACCGAGCGAGAATCAGCATATGCTAAAGCACGTTCCCTACGAAGGATGGCCTCCTGCTTGCTCTGAAGCTTTGCCTGAATCTCCTCTACGGTTCCAGAAGCATCGCACCAGCCAACCTGAAACCAAAGAGAGTCAGTGTCAAACATCGCAGAAAGCAAGACAGTTTCCTGGATGACGTGACACTTGAATTCGGTGAACATAGTCATACCTCGTTGCGTTTGAGAACCACTTCAGGGTGATACTTGCGGGAAATCTTCTCCAACTGCCGCTGGACAAGTTGTCCCTCCCTGCAGCAAGGAAAGGCCTATGTCAGAAAACAATGGGACGGCTGACAGGGTCTAAGCTTCCTATTGAATGCGGGGACACGAACCTGGACATCCGAACCCGACGGGCACGGAACCGAGCCTGGACACGAACGATCGCGTGCATGCAGCGAAGGGTAGCTTTTGCCTGCTTCCGTGCAATATGGCCCCTCACCAAAGCCTGGAGGCGAACCAGCCCCTTCAATGCACGAAGAGCCTTACGAGCCTGACGCCACATCCATTCAACACAAGACAAGCCATGAATAACAGAAACTCTTTGTTAGAGATGAGATGTGCACTGCGCGTCAGCATAGTTGATCAAGCTTACCAGATAACCACGATACACAGTCTGAATCCTGATGGCTGCTGCAGACTCAGCTGACATAGCAGGTGCTATTGATTGCTTCTTTGTGGCGCTGTACATGCGCCGGCCAGACCATGAAGATGTTGCGGTGCTCGATTCCCGCTTGGGAGAAGATTTGAGCGACACGCCCGAGGAGCACGTTGACGCTTCAGCAGCAGATCTAGCAGCAGACTTTGAGCGATATGAGCGGCCATGCGAGGCTGAGGCTTGAGAAATTGCTGGGGGAGGCATGGTAACAGAGGTGCAAGAGGTAGAGGGTGACTGAGGTGCTGTGAAGCGGGAGGCGGAGCCATGTCCAGGCTCCTTGGTGGAGGGGGATGCTGGATTGGCGGAGCGACTGCAAGGTGAAGGCGACCTGGCAGCTGAGCGAGAAGCAGATGGTGAAGCAGGAACCCGAGCTTTTGATCCATCAGCATTGATATAGAAGGACGGAACTGTTCGCGAAGACTGGACCGGTGATGATTCATGAGCAGAAATGGCAGATGTTGCGGGAGACTTGAAGCTTTTCGTTGCTTTTACACTTTCGTCCTTCGAGTATGCGCTTTCAGAGTACAAATCATCCTCGAGGAGTTCCTGTGGTAGTCGGTCAGAGACAGTGTCAGTATTAATAGGACGACAATACAGGAAATTGTAAGTCGAAAGGACACTCAGGATACCGCGAAATACGATGATTGTCCAATCTAATAGGACCCCTCACCTCAGGCTTAATCTTCGCAGGCTGGGGCTTACAGCGGAAAAGCGACTTCAACCACTT